CACACACACACACACACACACACACACACACACACACACACACACACACACAGGAGTATCTTTTTAATTAGGTATCTTTTCCTTTCCAGTTTCCATCCTCCATTACTTGGAGTGTGGAGGTCAAGCTGTGAGCCACGCACAGGCTCTCTGTACGTGAAATCTTTACTATCTATAACTTCACTCCGCCTTCTCCTGTAGTTAACTTAGCTGCACCCCCTCAATGGCTATACCATCTTTTCCTCTATCCCAACCTAGCACCATCCTGATATCCTTCTGAACTACAGGGCATTAAATCTTCCTGTCTTCTTGAGTTTTGACCGCCAGCTTCCTGCCTTCCCAGAGTCACACTGTCCACTAGCTCCCAGCTGCTCTTTGCGCTGTTCTCTGGCTCATTCACTGCCCTGGGCCTACTTCTATTTGGTTCTTGCAATCTCCTGGGCTGCTCAGATGATCTCAGCCATCTTGACCCTACTCTTGTCCTGTCTAAAACTCTCTCCTGTTCAGGAGAACCTGCTCGCTGCTGTGTTATGGTGGGAGAATCTTGGTGTGAAAATCTCAGGTAAGGGAAGATGAGGCAACCCTCTCTCACCCATCAGCCCTTTCTGAAGGTGAAATCTAGCCATGCACCTCATGGAAACACACAGAACCTTTGCCATGTGACCCTGCATTTGACCCTGGAAGACAGAGGATATCTTTAGGTGTGGTTGTCAGGCTTTGTTCATCTTCATTTGGAAACTGTCTCCCCACAGTCTATCATAATCTGGAGCCCACCAGGCTAGGAGGGCAGGCCAGCAAGCCCCAGGCATCCATCTGTTTTCACTTCTTCCACTGTGGAACTATGAGTGTGAGCCTCCATGAGCAGCTTTTTTGATAGTTTCTGAGAGTTGAACTCCGGTTGGCAAGCTTGCAGGGCAAGCATTTTACTAACTGAGCCATCTCCCTAGCCCATTACCTTTTACTTAAATGTATATATTACACATACACATGGGGTAGCGGGGTGTGGCTCACTATTGAACACAGGAAGATCAGCATCTTAAGCCTGTGGAAGGAAACAGCCTGTAGGCCTCAGGTCTCCACAGATAATCCATGAGTGACTAAGAGAATGAGTAAATGTACATTCAGGAGTAAGAGACAGCGATGCAATTTCTGCTTCAGTCTGTGGGGAATGCCACAATAAACACCTCACTATCAAGGAACAGCCAATCCCCCAAACCAAGCTTCTAATTCTCTGTAAATCTATAAAAATCTTCCGAGCACCACCTTTAATTTAGTTGCCAAATTATTTAGTGCTAATATTGCATGGTAGACGGCATGGACTCATTAAGTGCGAATCAGGTCCAACAGGCAGAATGGGGCCTGGGGATTAGAAAGCATTCGCTGGGAGAGGGAGATGAACCGAGTCATCCATGAGCGAGAGGCCTGGCTAATTGAATTGGGATAATGAAAGTCAAGTCACCAGGGGCATGTTCATGGAACAGAAGTTGCTAAAAGAGCTGCCTCTCTGCCATCTTTCATCCCTTTAAACTCAGGATTTAAAAGGAAGATGGGCTTACCTGCTGCTTCACTCTTCCTGTCACCCAGAACCCAGAGTGAATTGAAGTCATCATGGAAGCCTAGTTAGCGCCTCAAGCTACACCCATTTCCTAGCTGAGCTGAACTGTGAGGGCTCTAATTGTGCCTTGCCTGGTAATAAGGTAAAAGTGAGCAAGATTCACTGATGGGATGTGAGGGAGAGCAGGTGCCTGGGAAACAAAGAGATGTCTTCCTTCCTCAAGTAGGAGGTGGACATCATTTTCTTCTCATTAGCTCTTATTTACTTGTGTTTGTGCGCGTTCTTGCCACTGTGTGTGTGAAAGTCAGAGGATAATTTTTAGGAGTCAGTTCTCGCATCATGCGGGCCTGGGAATTGAACTCAGGTACTCAGAGTTGGCAGCAAGTGCCCTTACCTGTTGAGTCATCTCACCCTCTTGTTTTTTTGTTTGTTTGTTTGTTTTTAACAATTATTGTTGTATGTACACCTACATATAAATATATAAATGAACCTGCTGAGTTCATGTTTTCAGGATTACTCACTTGGTATTGGAGTCAGGGAGTTGCAACCTAAACCAATTCTCCCTCTCTCAGCAATCACTAACTGCTTATAGCTCTTCATCTATGGGGAGGCCTTTGAGATTTTCCCCATCTCTGTAGGCATATCAGCTGGTGGAACTATTGTTTATGTTTACCCTCTTGTTCTAAATCATTGTAACCTTCACAGAGTGCTTCTCTTCCCTGGGGCTTAATAAGCCCTTTCTGTTTCTCCCCTCCCTCCTTCCCTTCCTTTCTCCTTTCCTTCCATCATCCCTCCTTCTCCTACTCCGTCTCTGCTTTTGAAGAACTACATCCATCAAAGCGTTGGAACCTGGAGGACAACCTGTAGAAGTTGGCTCTCTCCTTCTGTCAGGTGAATGCTGGGGATCAAACTCATGTCATCAGGCTTGGTAGCAAGTACCTTTACCCACCATCTCGCCAGATCCCCCTCTTTTATTGAAACAAGATCTTATCTATAGACAGGTACAGTAAATAACTGGCCAGAAAGTGGTCCTGGTGAGGATGTAGTATATTCTAGCCTCCAGAAGGACTGATGCTATGGCTAGAAGAGTAATTGTTCAATATTGTCAATTATTACGTATACAGCTAATGAGCACTCAGTACCTTCGACTTCTTGCGGGATAGATATGATCACTTCTCCAAATCCATAACATGAGAAAGTATCTTTTTAACGGTTTTAATTTTTTTTAGATTTCTGTGTATTTGTGTCTGAGTGTGTGCATATGGGTGTGCCGCTGTGGGGGTGCTGTTGGAAACTGCAAGAGTGCAATGGCCTCTCTGTAGTTGAAGGTACAGATGGTTGTAAGCTGCCTGATATGGGTACAGAGAACGGAGCTTGGGTCTTCCACGAGAGCAGTCAGTACTCTTAACTGATGAGCCATCTCTGTGGTCCCTCAACAAACAAACAAACAAACAAAAATGGCTGGGCTAGTATAGGCAGCCATCACCAAGCCTGATGACCCAAGTTTGATCCCTGAGACTTACACGGTAGAGAGAATGGACTCCTAAAAGTAATCTACACACACACACACACACACACACACACACACACACACACACACACACTAAATATATAAATAAAATATAAAAGCAAAACCGCCCAAAATCCCAAACCCTGAAATATTCCCTGTTGGCTCTTCTCAGGTTTAAATTTTATCTAGATTTCATTCTTGTGATATGGTAGTTCTATATAGATTTCCAGAAGCTTTATTTTATGAGTTAATCCATTTTTACATCCTTTCCATTCATAAGACCAACTCATTAAAAAGGAAAAGGACACTAGGGGTGGGGAAGGTGATACTTGTTTTAGTGCTTGTGTTTTCCGTTGGTGACAAAGATATTTCTGAGTACTGTTTGGAAGATGGACTGGCCCTTGACCCTTCTTGTCTGTGAGGATCAAGGTCATCCTCAGCTACAAACCGAGTCCTAGTCCTGCCTGGACTATCAGACTGTTTCAAAACAACCGGAACAGTAATCAAACAAACCCTTCCTGACTTGGTTCTCACACTCCTGAGCCCAGCCCCACCCAGCTCTGCACAGGGGAAGGTCACACTGACCTTGACTTTCTGTTGGTGGTGGTAAATCTGCCAGGCAATGTGCACGTGCATGGCGCACCACTTTCCTGGTTTCTGGAATAAAAAAGAATGTCACTGTCAGATAGGAAGACACACGTCAGAAAGCCCACCTTTCCTTTGCCCCAAGCTCCCTGCAGATCTGGCTATGGAGACTTCTTTCCTTAAAACAGGCGAGCTCTGTGTCAAGCAATTGCAGCTCTTCCAAGTGCAGTCACGAGGAAGGCAGAACTGGCATCCCCCGTCCCATGTGGGTCTGAGACAACAGCTCCTTTACAAAGCAGACCTCTGCCAAGGACAATATGGCAAAGACCTGAGTCTCTTTGTGCAGCCTGTCTTCTCTAATGCCAGCGGGCGGGCCTGGTGAGTAGCAAGCCCTACCTAACAAACGCTGTCAAGCTAACAGGCACATCAGCCATCCAGAAGAGCTAATTAGGGAATGTCTGTGGATCGAATCAAAACAAGAGAGGGGACTGGGCTTTCAAAGCGTTACACAGAAATTTGTCACATTTTTTATTACAGTCTGGTAACCTCAAATGTTTCACCGAGAGCCAATAACCCACGTGTGTGTGTGTGTGTGTGTGTGTGTGTGTGTGTGTGACACTTTATTCTCTTCTAGTTAAAAGAAGAGAAAAACAGAAAGAGGAGCTGAGAAGGAATGGATTCCTTCCTTCCTGAAGGGATCAAGTTTCTCTTTGGCCTTCTGAGGGGCAAGAGTCATTCTGTACAGTGTAACAGAGGGCAGGGCCAACTCTTTCTGCTTCCTTTCCACTTAGCTCTCCATGTGCTCCCTCAGGGCAAGTACCATAAGGGTGAGAAGGTCCTGCCTGACTGTTACAGCAAGACAGAAGCGCCTGGTAGCAAGAGGGGGCTGCTCCTGCCTGAGATCCAAGTCTACAACAGGTCTGCTCTCTCAGAATTGAATTATGGGTTGTTTGTGACACAAAGAACACACCCATTTCAGGCAAGTGAAGGAGGGGACCATGATGGCTAATACTCTACAGGGTTTGACAGGACATAGAATCATCTAAGAAACAAGATTCCAGGCACACGACTGGAGAGATTATCTAGATGAACTTAGCCTCTGGGCATGCTTAGCTGCCTCAGTTAACTGAGGGGGGAAAGCCCACTCTGAAATAAGAATGGCACTATTCAGGGGACTGGGGTCCTACACAGAAGGAAAGGGGGAAAGCAAGCTGAGTATCAGCATCCATCTTCCTCTGCCTCTTACCCACAGCCTCAGGTTCCTGCCACCTAGACCTCCCTGCTGTGGGGCCCTACAACTGTGAACTGTGAGTCAGAATACAGTCTTCCTGAAGTTGGTCAGGTATCGTGTTATAGCAAAGAGAAAAATACCCAAGAAGAGGGACTATGTGACAGTCAACAACAGGAACTGGATCATTCAGCCACTGTCTTCCATCTGTTTTCTGCCCCAGCTCTGTGCCATATAAGTCATTATGTATCTAGAGGTCACCTGCTGGCCAGATTCCGGCCCTGGGAAACATCCTGCCTATGTTTATAGCAGCCTTTCATCACTCCCTGGGAGGTAGCTTAAATGGGGCAGGTATACATACTTACATTGACCTCTCTGGGCAAAATAAACAGATCCAAGAGAAACTAACCACAGCCGGCCTATGGCTTGCCTTTCCCCTTGCCTGTTATCCCAGCATAGCAGGGAGGGAAGGGTGGCTGAGTCAGGTGGCTCACAAGTTCAAAGCCAGCCCGGATACAGAGGAAGAGCAAGATCTTGCTCATAACATTTTTTTTTAAAGATTGATTAATTTCTTTTAAATTAAATGTGTGTGGGGGTGGGGTGGGGGATGGTATATGTGTGTGCAGTGCCCACAGAGGCCAAAGGAGGGCGTTGGATGCCCTGAAGCTGGAGTCAGGGAAGGTTATTAGCCACCCAATACGGGCACCAGGAACCACACTTGGATCTCATACAAGAGCAGCAAGTGCTCTTAACTTGAGAGCTGTCTCTTTAGCCCCTTGTCAATTGTATTAATGAAAACCCAGTGGCTTAGCTTCCTCCAGCACTCAAAAGGAAAAAAAAAAAATATTGAGGCCACTTCCCATCCCCCTGCCTGCAAAACCAGCCAGCTGTTAGCTCTCTCACTGACATCCACGCTGGCATGTCTCCAGCGCAGTCCCTGCTACTGACTTGTGTTTTTAACCCACAGAGAGTCAGAGGTTGCAGAGACAGTTCTAGAAGAAGCTCTTCTTACCCTTAACATAGGTCTGAAAGGATCTGTCAACTGTGAAGAGAAAATGACAACTTGGTTACATGCCTGTCACTCAAACAATTGCCCTAATTAACAAATTTGTAGTGCTTCATTAGGAGGGGAAATTAAAATGTTAGAATTTTACTTTTAAATGAAGCCCTTTTAGAGAATAATTAACCCATTTTCACACCATCAAAAAGTACCAAGTGTCCCCTCCCCCAGCTCAGGAGCACAATGACAAGCCCTCCAACCCCATACAAGTTTCACCAGCAGAGATGTGCCCTAGGCCAGCATGACTTGCATGTAACATGAACCATGAGGGTCCCCATTTTGACTGGCTCTGCCACAGGCCACTGTGTGGGGCTCAGACCACAAAATGAAGGGTGACATGGAGGGGTCATCTGGGAATGTCTGTCTTGTCCAGACCCTGCAGACCCAGGCTGTCCTTACAACATCCTGGCTTCATTGAGTTTGTGCCACCTGAAGGGCTTAAGCTCTTGCAAAAAAGTCCACTTAAATAAAAACTGCTCTAAGGGTAGAGTTATAAACAACAGTCAACGGGCAAGAGCCTCTCCATTGTGTGGCTTTGCCTTTTGTTTTAGAGGCAAGGATAGCATCAATTATGAATAAATAACATAACTGGGGCATAATAGATATTTTATTTGGCTCTAGAGCATGTTCCATCTGTAAGAGCAGAGTAGTCCAGGAACTTCCTGACCACAAGCAAGAAGGGGTGTGTGTGTTGTTCATGTGCTTTTCCATTCTGGGGATTCTATGGCTATTTCTTTTATGCAAAGAGAGATGTAAGCAGCTATAGACAGACAGATGGAAGGTAGACATACTGGCAGCATTCAATTTCTGGGCTCAGAGTCTTGTTTCTTTTTTCTTTTTTTTTTTTTCCCCTTTGTTATCCTAGCCAAGTCATTACCCTGTGTCATTCATGCAATTGAGGAGACTGTGACTTCTATAAGGAACAGGCATTTTCTGACATAAAAGCTGCAAATGCCCCTGGTATTACCTGTGACTGAGCCTGACTTTGCACGTACCCTTGGGTCCTTTTGGAGCAGAGTGTGTGGGACTGTTCCAGGCCGAGCAGCCACATCGATAGGGTTGGATGTCTACAAATAGATTAGACCACAGTTTAGGATGCACATAAATCAATAAATAAATAAATCGATAAATCAAGCTTTATCTTTCTTACAGAACAGCAGAAATGAAGCATTATCTCCCTTATCTTGTTCTGAATTATGACCTTTTCTTTTCTTTCCATTAATCTGTATTTGTGTATGAAGATGCACATGCATGCATGTTGAAGCTAGAGACTGACATCTGTTATCTTCCTCAATTGCCTTCCACTCCACCCCCACACTTCTCTTTTTGAGACAGGGTCTCTCTGAACCTGGAAAAACTTGGCTGGTTAGCCTGAAGCATTGGGGATCCTTTTTTCTCAGTCTCCATAGAGCTGGGACTACAAAAGAACATCGCTGGACTAGGGGTGAGGATGCGGGAGAGAGCTGGGCTAGAGGACCCAACAGCAACCCACATAACAAAGGAGATCATTATATATAGATGTTAGGGGGAAGAGTGTCTGAGCTTACAGGCTTAGAGCCTGTATGTGAGTTTAGTGCATTAGTGAAGGTGCTTGAGAGGATCTATGCCTCTAATTTTGGGCTGGAGAAGTGGCTCAGCAGTTAAGAGCCCTTGCTGCTCTTGGAGGTGAGCTGGTTTGGTCCCCAGTACCCACATCAGCAGGCTCACAACTGCCTAGATCTCTAACTCCAGAGGGGTCTGACTGACATGCACATATATAGAGACACACAAGTTAAAAAAAAAAAAAAAAGGCAGTAATTTAGGACACTAATCCTATTGTCTCACCCTACCCAGAGGCGAGCTAGGAACTCAGCAGCTTAGAGGTGCTAGATAAGAAGTGAGATGCAGGTGATCCCTCTGTATGATCTAAGAAGCTACACAGGCGACTTTCTCCCTCAGACCTCTTCCCTGTTGACCCACACCACAAACTCCCACTGCTTTTCATTCATCATCCTCATTTGTTTTCCTGCTTTACCACCCCAACACTGAAAGAAATATTTAAGTGCACAACCATTATAACATCCACATAAGCTGCATCTTTCAGGAGGGCTGACAGTGTTGTAGAGATACTAAGCTACCTAAAATCTTAACTGGTAGGTAACAACAAGAAATTACACTCTGTGATTACTCATCAGCGATGGAGGAAATGGGACAAGAGAGCCTAATTTAGGGATGACAAAAGATTTACTACTAAAATCCGCTGCTGTTCTTCCAATTCCGAACACCATTCTTAAATATCAGTAATAGTATTAACTGCATTGCTAGACCTTTTTTGTCTTCTTGAATCAACAATAACAAAAAACCTGCCCCCCAAAACCAAAACAAAACAACGAAAAAGGGAATAGTTACTAATGTCTTGTGGGAAGATTTTTTTTTTTTTTAAATCGTAGGTTTCTTATTGTTGTTTGTTTCTGATTGTCTTCTTTTGAGATAAGGGCTCTTACTATGTAGCTCTGGCTAGCCTGAAGTTTGCTGTGTAGACCAAGCTACCCTTGAACTCAGATATCTGCCTGCCTCTGCCTCTCAAGTACTAGAAATGAAGTTATATGCTAACCATGCTGAGCTGTAGTAGCTATTCTCTTTTTTAAAAAAAATTAAAATGTATACATTATATATATTACAATGTATTTGCCAGTATGTATGTAGGACTCTGTCTGTCTGTCTGTTTGTGTGTGTGCACATGTGTGGAGATCAGAGGCCAATTTATAAGAAGTATTTCTCTCCTTCTGTCTTGTGGCTCACCAGGATCCAGCTCAGTTCCCCAGGCCTGGTAGCATGTAGCTTTACCTCCTAAACTGCTTCCAGTAGCTTTTGAAACTTACTTACTTGCATGTGTGTGTGAGTGTGTGTGTACAGATGTTATAAGTCTCACAGGTGGAGATCAGAGGACAACTTGTAAGAGCTGAGTCTCTCCTTCCAACACATAGGTTCTAGGGATCTAACTCAGGGTTGGTGGCAAGTGCCTTTCCCCACTGGGAGTCGGAGGGAAAAGCTCAAGTTTAGGCATGAAGCTTGCCTACAAGGAGAAATGGAGGAAGAAAAAAAGAGAGAGAGAATGGAAGAAAAGCAATCAGCTGCTGTACAACTAACAATTAAGCTGCAGTTGTTAACAGCCTGATTTGCATACATATGAAGAACTCTGCTAATGAACAGCAATCTACATATTCAATCAGGAAGATGGCCTGGAAAGGCTTATTTCAACACCAAGAGACACTTTCTTGCCCAGATGTAGTTTGTGGCGTGATTGGATAATTGCAAGTGAGGGAAATAGTCTAATTTATTAAATGACCTACCAGTCTGCTTGGGGACGCACTGGAGATTTATCTCAACCTAGTGGGGACAGACCAGGGTCTGAGGGATTACTGAAAAACAGGGAAAGGAGACTAGAAATCACCACTTGCTGTGGTCATTGCAAAAGCCCTGTGTATGTAGACCCTGTCATTTAAGCTACAGTTTCATGAACACGAGGGTGATTTCAAAGAGTAGCGTCTAACCCCTGATGCCTTTTAAATTTCTTTCCCTTCCCTGTTTCTGGTTTTTATGGCAACACACCTTAGAAAATCCATGTGTTCAAAACAGGAAACCCTGGTCCCAAACTGGTGCTTTAGCTTAAGAATGGGAATGGGAGGTAGGGAACGGGAGGCAGAAACCAAAGCACACATAGCATGATATCACAGCTGTATGTGGTTGGCCATGGGAGAAGCACACTTCACTTTAAAAATTAGTATTTAAGGAAAGTCAGGGGTTTAACTATTATTCTGTATTCTTCTGATGTTGTTGCGAGCGGACCTAGGGACTTGTGTATGGTTAGAAGAGTGCTCTGAGAGCGGTCCCAGCCCCTCACCTCTAGGGAGGTGCTCCACTGCTGGACCACACCTCTGCTCCACCACAGCAGCCTCTTTCAAAGGCAAAATTATTTTTGAATATTGGCCTTTATAGAAAACAGAGGCTGTGTTGACCTGCATATTATTCACTAGGTAAAAAAAAAATAATTCAATTCTTACTAAGAATAAAAGATGAATAGTTTCAAGGGCTAGGACGATGGCTTGGTGTTGAAAAGTAATGGTTACTCTTGCAGAGGACCTGGGTTTGGTTCCTAGCACCTACATGTTGGTTCTCAACCATTCATAACTCCAGTTCTGGGAGGTGCGACCCCCTCTCCTAAAGGTGCACCAACCAGGTACCCGGTACACATACATACATGTAGGCTAAATACTCATATATATAGAATAAAACAAACAAACAAACAAAAAAACAATCAAAAAGGTGATCTTTCAAAGTAGCGTATCAGAAACAAAGAACAGATCCTGACTTTGGGTGTGGGTGTAGGGTGGGAAGAGTGTTCAGCTAGGTCTAAGACAAGCAGAGAGAGAAAACACAAGCAAGGTAAGCTTTTGCCTTGCCATCAGCAGACAGACCTGTGTACAGACGCATGGTTGATACAGCGAAGGACAGAGAGTAAATAGAAAAAAAATCTTTCTCAGACAAAGAACAGGAAACAATTTTAGTCTGGGAACCTTCATCCCCCCTTTACCACTAAAATCAACCAACACCTCAACTCTGTATGTTTGTTCATAATGTACACCTCAAAGGTAACTTGGCATTTTTTACTAGACATTTAATCTTGAGCAGAATTCCCCCAAAGAAAAATCCCTTTCTTCAGTGGTGCAGCCTGCTCTGCTTCCACAGTGACCTCTCACTTATTTTCTTTGTAATATTAGTTAAACCAAGGAGAGGGTATGAACAGGAGTAGGAGGAGGGCAAGAGGTAAATATGTCAAAGTATATTATAGATATTGTATGTACGGGAAGGTCATAATGAAGCCCATTATTGCTTACAATTAATACACACTAATGAGAAATTTGAAAAAAAAAAAAAAAGAGAGAAACATTTGTAGTAGGAGGAAAAAATATATCAAATATGCCCATATTGTAAAAATTCTGCATATTCTTTCAGATTTTTGCTGTATTTTTATTTTATTTATGTGTCTGTGTGTTTGTATGCATATATGCCAGGTGCATGTGAGTGCTCACAGAGGCCAGAAGTGGGCACTGGATCCTCCGGAGCTGGAGTTACAGGAGGTTGGGAGCTGCCTGATGTGGGTGCTGGGAACTGAACTTGGGTCCTCCACAGGAGCAAAAAGCACTTACCCCACTCAGCCATTCCTCCAGCCCCTTTTCTGCATGTTTTGAAGAGTACAGAAAACTTAACTCATGAGACTTCATGGGTCCTAGTAATCTCAAGTTACATTTCTATTTGGGTTTAAGACTAAATAGACTAGAAAAAAAGGGTCTCATTCTACTCCCCATGGTCCCTTTGGGTGTGCGCACTCATCGCTGCAGACAAGCAGGTGTACAACCCCCTTGCACGCCTCGCCTGGCCCTCCACTAAGGCAGTGCCATGTCTTCACTCAGGTTCTTACCTTCGGCTGGAATGCTCCTTGGAGTGAACCGAAAGGGCCCGTGGGTGGGATCATGGGGGGTATGCCCGAGACTGCAGGAGGATAGGAGTGGAAGAGCTGTAGCCAAAGACGGGGAGGGATTAAAAAAAAAAAAAAAAAACGGTTTTAGTAGGGGGCACGTGATATGTCCCAATTCCCATAGAAAGACATCGACATTAGCAAGCCAGCCAATCTCAGTATGATGCCATTAGCCAAGCTATGATGAGATGAACACACAGATGCGCCATGAATGTTTAACGAAAAAAAGTTAAAAAGTAGTTCAGAATCAATCGGCCAACAAATGACATCCCCGATGAGAACATCATTAGAGAGAGAGAGAGCTTTGCTAATTATTAATCAAGAAATCACATAGAAGCCCTCCATGCATATCGAAAGCAGGAGGGGATGCTAAGCCCAACAAGACGCCCAGAAAATTACAAGTGAATTAGGAAACAAAAGGAAAACCAAGAAGAAGAAGAGAAGGTCTTGATGAGGGCCAAGATTTTATATTGTTGAAACTTGATGACTTTTAAATGAATTTAGATGTTTGGTGGTTTGAGGAAAGGGACTATTCACAATCCTTGCTTCATTAGGTTGTTCTAGAAAGGGCATTTCTAGAGGACAATTTAATCTCCTCATCTAAGATGATGATGGATATTTGTGCAGGGTTAAATGACTCAGTCTACATTTTAAATGGAACTGCCAATTTTCGTAGAAGGTCAAAAAAGACTCGTCTACTATTCTCTCCCACCACTGATCATTGGAAGCAATGGAGGAGGTAAGAGCGGAGTCTGGGATAGCATGTCTTAATTTGAAGCTCCTCCTGCCCCAGACTTCAGGTACTCAAGGCTCCCGTGTATTCACACACAAAGCAGGAAGCCCTCTGGCCACTTTCCACTGTAGGCTGCTCAGGGAACAGACTTGTTGGAGGCTGTGGGAAGGGGCCTGAGCCACCTATGTGATTCTGACCACTCAGGCACAAAGGTGGGTTTCTAATGAACCCTGAGTCTTCTGGACTCACCAGTTTACAAAGCACGAACAATAGCTGGGCAAACAAGCCAAGCAAACTAGACATTCAGTGCAACCAAAGGCAGCAGAAATATATCTCCGTCCTTAAAAAAATCTTATTTCTCTGACTCCATGATCAAGCTGACATATGGTATTTAAGCAACTCCCCAGCCTCACTGCTCTCTGGTAAGTTAAGAAATACAATAACAAGCTTCCCTTAATAACACTCTAGGCTAGCTGGGTTTGGTTATGACTTAAATTCACACCCTGCAATCCTATCGTCACAGAGCATGCAATGTTTTCTGTTGCTCTCTGCAAAGATACGAAGAAGTTTTCCAGACTAATTGATATTGAACTAAATCCACTTAAACAGTGATTGCCAGCCAAGTACCCTCATTTAAAACTACTTTTAAGTCTAAAATTGTGTTTCAGCTACTTGAGCGCACTGCATCTTAATTTGCCTTATAATGTCTTTAATCCCCAAAGCAGGGGAGACTACTTCATAGATTAGCCACTATCGCTAATATTATGAAATAACTCTCCCCCAGTACGCTGCAGAAAGTGGAGTAATTAAATACATGCGGTATTAAAATGCTCAAATTTCTATGACTCTGCCTCCAAGTGGTCCTTTCCTCTCTAATGGTTACAATTAAAGGAGAAAAATGGGAGGCCCATTCCCCTCTCCTTCCCTGTGCTGCAGACCTCTTAGAATGGAATATGGCTGACTCCTGCTCCTTGTCTAAAAGCCTGAGGCGAGGCTTCCGAGTCACCCAGCAGACCCCACACTCGGGCCTCCAGAGTGCCCCTCCCCCTTTACCCAGGGACTTTGTGTGCCTAGGAAGGCACTGGCACTCTGGCCTCATGAAGCCAGCCTGGGCCACCTGCTGAGCATGCAACACCTTTTTTTTCCTTTTCATTATTTCATCATTTCACTTTTTAGCATTATTTCATTTGTTTGTTTTTAAGATTTATTTGTGTTTGGGTGTGTGTATGTACTCGTCAAGAGATATCCTGTCTATCTTGTTTTTTCCAGAAATGTATTATTGTTCAGGATGTGATAAATTAGTTCTCTTTCTACCTTTATGTGGATCCTAGAGATTGAACTCAGGTCTCCAGGCTTGTGTGGCAAACATCTTTACTCACTGAGCCATCTCCTTAGCTTCTCTTTCACTGGGACGTGGGGCTGGCCAATTAGGGTAGGCTGGCGGGTTACTGAATGTCAGAAATCCTCCTGTCTCCACCTCCTCAGTGCTGGGATTAGGAGTGTGCACCATCATGGCAGGCTTTTTCACTTGGGGGCTGAACTTAGAACATCATGCTTGTAAAGGACTAAGCCATCTCTCCAACCTGACCTTTCATTTAAATCTATAAAGCACCAAATACCGTGTGTGAGGCACACTCAAAGAGGAAACCCACAGAGTTTACTGACTTCTCATTGTCATTGCTGAAATGCTTTTGTGCCCTAGTGCTCAGCAGTTCAGGGTGGATCCATGGCAACTGAGTAACCTAAATATTTTTTTCTCCCCATCCTACTACTTATATCATTTAGTTAGAGGTTTTTTTTTTGTTGTTGTTGTTTTTTGTTTTCTGTATTTTTGAGTGTACATGTACATGTGTGAGTGTAGTGCTTGAGGAGTCCAGAAGAGGGCATTGTATCCTCTGGAGCTTGCGCTAGAGACAATTATGAGCCATCCTATCTGAGTGCTGGGAATTGAACTCTGGTCCTTGGCAAGAACAGCATGGACTCTTAACCACCAACCTGTCTGAGGGTTATATCTAACCTCAAGTTCCCTATGTAGCTGAGGATGACCTTGGACTCCTGATTCCTCTTGTCTCTACCTCCAACTTCCGGGGATATAGGCATGCACTACCACGCCTGGTTACACTCAGGGTTGAGCATGAAACCCAGGGCTTCCTGCATATTAGGAGACTGGTCTATATTTCCAGCCCCCTCCAATCCCAAGGGTCCTTCCGTGGGTCAGTCCTGAAAGCCTCTAGAGAGTAGACGGTTCTAACTGGTTTCTAGTGCTGTCTGGTCTAAGCGTCTCAGCTATGGTCTTGCATAGTAAGCAGTGTGCACGTGTTTCTTTCAAGCTGGGATGGGTTCAGCCTTTTCTCAGGAGCAGTACAACAATCGTGTTAAGAGAGTGCTGTGTAATGAAGCAACAAGACCAGTGCATGAGATCAAAATGACTACAATAACTAATCTCCCTTATCTTTGCTTTCAAGATACAAATTAACCCTTACGCAAAGAAACTAGAGGAGTTTCAGATCGAAATGATGCAGTATTCATCCCATAATCAAAATATCACAGTAAATAGTCGTATCTCTGTATAGAGAGGTTCTTGTCCCTTATACAGCTCAACATACAGCTCTGGTCAGTACCAATTTATATCCTGGGAATGCATACTTAAAATTACATAAAGCAGAGCTGCTTCTCAAATAAACAAGAATGAGTCTAAAGAGAAAAATAGCTCTTTTTTTTTTTTTTCCATTTTAAGGCTTTTTGTTTGTTTTGTTTTTTTCTGAGAGCGAGTCTCAGGTAGGCCAAGGCTGGCTTTAAGTTCTGGATCCTCTTGCCTCCATTTCCCAAATGCTGTGACAACAGGTGTAGGCTCCCATGTCTAACTTAGCCCTTTTTAAATTCATTGACATTTTTATTGTCCAGTGGAAACAAGGTCTGGAAAGCAATCTGCCTATGTGGAAAGAGGTTTTGTACTTATTCTAGAAAAGAAGAAAAATCCACTCTTTGAAGAGGCATGAGTCAAAATAAAAGGGGCGGTTTATTTATAGGAAAGAATTTGAACTGAATTCCCGGAGTTCTGGGTTCCTAGCATTTCAAATAAAATCTGTGATTTCATACTCTCCTAAGACAATAACAATTCTACTGACAGCTCACCCACTCTTAGACAGCTGTGTGGTTTCAGAAAGTTCCACATTGGAGCAAGGCTAATGATTTACTGTTGTTTTGCTTTTGTAAAACAAGATCTCACATAGCCCAGGGTGTCTTTGAACTCACTACGTAGCAAGGATAACCTTAACTCCTGAGCCTCCTGCCTCCATTTCTCTAGTTCCCAGCTAACAGGCTGAACCACCACTGGCAGGCTTGCTGATGATCTTTTGATTCGGAAGATGATACTGCATCACCCACCCAAAGCAAAAATGGCACACAAGCAAGCACCCCACATGATAAAGGAGCGATGGGGAAGACTCTTGCACAGATGACAGGGAAGGCTGGCAGGCGCTTACTCATCGGTGGCAAGAGTACTGGATGGAAAAGGCGTTACAACAAATGGGGAGCACAGCAGTATGACTCACACTATGCCGGTAGAATGGGTCAACTTTGGTAGGGTATTTGTCAAACTGCAAAGGGATCAAAGCAAAAGCTAGTTACTTTTAGCTGCATGTTTTGTTCGCCCCTCCAGGGGAGATGACCCACTAGACAAGCTTCGTGCCAACCTCAAGGTGCACAAAAAGCAAGTCTGAGCACCCAACAAGAGGCATCCAGAATGTAAATGCAAAGTGATAAGCCCACCCAGTGTGCCCCACTCCTCAGGACCCCTTGATGCTATGTTTGGGGACTGGCACAAGGCAAAGATCCAAAGTGGAGAAAATAGGCAGTTATCCAGATAAACCAGAAAAATGGGCACCCTATCTGTGCTGGCTAGTTTTATGTCCACTTGACACGAGCTAGAGCCGTCTGAGAGGAGGGAGCCTTGACTGAGAAAACGCCTCTAGAAGATGGGCTGTCGGAAAGCCTTAGAGCATTTTCTTAATCAGTGACTGATGGGGGAGCACCTAGCCCATTGTGGGTAGTGCCATTCTGGGCCTGGTGGTCCTAGGTGTTATAAGAAAGCAGGCTGAGCAAGCCATGGGGAACAAGCCAGTAAGCAGCACCCTCCATGGCCTCTGCATCAGCTCCTGCCTCCAGGTTCCTGCCCTGGTTTCTTTCAGTGGACTGTATTCTGGATATGTAAGTCAAATAAACCCTCTCCTCCTTCTCCCCACTCCAAGTTGTTTTGGCCATGGTGTTTCATCACCCTAAGACAATATCTAACCAAGAACTAACTCCCTATGTTACTTTTCTCTTCTCTGTGGCATGAAAAGTACAAATACCACTGTCTCAGTGAAATATATTATACACCAAAATACTGAGTGTTTTGGGGATAGGTCTTAGAGCTTGTCTCTGAACAGAAAAAGAAAATATCAAAAATAAATAAATAAATAAAAAAGGAAGAAAGAAAGGAAGGAAAAATGTGTATGTGTGTGTGCCTGTGTGTGGGTATGTGCACAAGTATTCAGGGACTTAAGGAGGCCAGAAGAGGGAGCTGGATCCCCTGAAACTAGAGTTATAGGTGGTTGTAGCTGTACAACATGAAGGCTGGGAAATGAATTCTTCTGGAAGAGCACCAATGCTCTTAACTACTCAGCCATTATTTCTCCAGCCTCAAGTATTTCCTTAAATATTGAAGATTACTCATTGCGATGTGCAGGCCTCTCTCTTTAACATATACACTATAGCACCATTCATTAGTATCCCTTGTCTAAAATACCCTAATTCTCCACACATGTGCCAGTCCCCAGACAGGACAAAGCAAGGCTCAGTCAAGCTAAGCTGTATCTTGGTGGGGCCCATCTGTCCCTGCTGCCTGCTTGCTATCAGGCATAACGTAAGATTAGGGCCCTGTGTCATAGAATAACAAGAAGTATGGTAGTTCTAGAAAAGCAGGATTAGGGGAAATTACAACCAGGGAAGAGGCAGTACCCAGAGCGGGCATCCTCCCAATCGGGCCCTTGTTTCTCTTCTCTTCACTCCCAATCTTTTCTAAGTATTTCTATATTGTTATTAAACATTTTAACATCTGGAGACAACCACCCAGCATGCACGAGCAAACACAGCAACCCTTTAAGAAGGTAGCAAGGCTTCATTTGAGCGTTCTGAAGGCACCGGGATGAAATCTATCCACAGTGCTAGTTTTAGCCATCTAGAAAAATGTCCCAACTCCAGTGCTCTAGAACCAGAATTCGTTAGCAAAGATGGATAAGACCCAAGGGATGCCCCCAACCCTACCGAGTTACCGCCTTACCCCCCCACCAGTGCTTCCCAATGCCCACACCAACCCCCGAGCCAAGCTGCATGCTCTACTTATCCTCACATTTCTGCCTGGGGTACGCACCATGGGAGGTGCTGGCGTCGGCATGATGGCGGTGGGTGGGATGGCGTGGGGGAACGGCGTGAAGGTGTGCTGGTGTGTGTGCTGGTGCGTGTGCTGGTGCTGGTGCTGGTGTTGATGGAACTCGGTCCGCAGGTAGGGTGGCGGGCCCAGGGAGGCCCCTCGATCAGCGCTCTGAGAGGCCAGGAAGCGGGTGTTCAGTTCCTGCCTCAAGATGTCTTGTTCTAGAAAAGAAGGAGAGGGAGGTAATGGTGGCGACATCTTTTCTTTCAGAACAGGACACCCTGGGTACAGGCATGTCTGGTGTGCAGACAACATGCCAATGCAGCACAGGAGGCCTATGAATGTGGATGGACACGGAATCACGAAAATGACTGTGAACTCCCTACGCAGCAGAAAACAATCTAGAATTCCTGATCCTCCTGCCTCTGTCCCCTGAGTTCTGGGACAGGCATATATCACCAGATATAATTTTCTGTAGTGGTAAGGATGGAACCCAGGGCCTTGTGCATGCTGGGAAAGCACTCTCCCAACTGAGCTAATAACAATAGCCTCCAAAATGAGACTGTGTGTGTGTGTGTGTGTGTGTGTGTGTGTAAAACTTGACTGTGTGATTCTCTAGTGTGAACTCTGTAGATGGCAACGTGATGTCATAATGTTAAAAAGCTGGGCAACACTGACAAGGACACTGGGCAATGCCATGTGATGAATGGAGGATGCAGAGATAAAGACACAGTACTTGGGCACACAGGGGTGGAGCCAGGCTCTGGATAAAAGGGGACAACAGGTAGAATAGACCATAGCAAGGCTGGCTCTCAGCTCATGTCAACTTCAATACCTAGTCTCTCAGTCCCAAGTCTAAAAGCAAGTTCAGCCACTCCCAGCCTGTCTAGGGAGGTCTGGACCAATGAAAGACTATATCAAAAACAACAACAATAACAACAGCAACAACAAATACAAACATTCACATAAAGCCCCGCTAAAAACAACAAAAACAAGGTGAGTGACTGTGTCCTGAATAATAACACCCACCATTGACATTCTTACCTCTGCTCTCATGTAAACACACGTGTACACACACACACACACACACACACACACACACACACACGCATACATTTAAGTACTATGGTACAGTGAGACACACCAGTCAGTCATTATATTCCTGTTAATACCACCAGGTCCACGTGCCTTCTTCAAGGATTGATATAGCTCTATGAAGTGTAACATGGCTAGACTAGATCAACATCAGGGCACAGTTAATACAGCCAGGAGAAAAAAACACTAAAATCCAACAGTAGGTAATTCATCTGTGTGCATGCTGTGTACACACACACACACACACACACACTCACTCACACTCACACGCATGCACGCACGCTCACATTTGCATGTGTGTGGAGGCCAAATGTCAACCTCAGGTGTCATTCGTTGGTCAGGGTCCATGTTTTTCTTAAACAGATGTTTATTTCTAATAGTTAATTTAATTAACTAATTTGTGGTGGCATCACCACATGTTGGGGGGGGTCACAGGGAAAATTTTGGGGAGCTTGTTCTCTTCTTTCACCATCTGGGCCCTAGGATTGGAAGTCAGGTGGTCAGCCATTGTGGCAAGTGCCATTACCTACTGAGCCATCTCACTGACATCACCTTGTTTTTTATGACAGTCTGGCTGGCCTGTACCTCACCAAGGTGACTAGACTGACTCCCAGTGAGCCCCAGATTCCTCCCGTCTCATCTCCCCAGTACTGGGATCACAAATGTGTACCACCATCCCTGACTTTTGTAAGTGGGATTTAGGAGATGAACTGAGGACCTCAGGCTTGCAAGGCAAGTCCTACTTTGAGCCTTCTCCCTCACCTCAGCATGTCTGTCTTTAAAATTCTAGGGTATACTGTCACCTCAACAGAAGATAGAGAGGGCCCTAGTCGACTGGAGAGATGGCTAAGAGTACATATTATTACTTTTTTAGAGGACCTGAGTTTGGTCCTAAGCACCACCATCACTTGTAGCTATAGCTCCAGGGGATCTGATGCCCCCCTCTGGCCTGTTTGGTTCCCTGCACATACACACACATACACAGAAACACACACACACACCACACCACACAACCTGAGATCCTAGAGTGAAACAGACACTAGCCTGGAATTGCTCTCACAGCTTAAACAGGTGTCACAGAGCAGGTGCCATCTAAGTTCACTCAGCAGTGATGTCATAAAAAAGTGTGGGTTAGGCACTCCATTTTCTTGCTCAGCATCAAATTATCCAGGGCCTTGCTGGGCAATTTGGAGGCATCTGTATTCACTTTTGTAAATTTTGTACATTTGTGTGCTGAACCTCGGCCATGAACGACTAAAAGAACACATCCAAGATGGTGAAAATTGTTACATAATGTGTAACATTATGGTGGTGGTGAGGTGAGGGGCACTACGTATAGGTGTGCCAATGAGACTGCCTCGACTTACCTGAGTAGGTACTCCCTGCTGGGTGCCCTGGCACCTGCAGACTTCCAGATGTCAGCGGTGGGGGAGGAGGCAGAGCCGTGGGAGGGGCAAACATATTGGGGTGGTGTGAGTGTGCAGGAGGTTGGAGGGTGGGCGTAAAGCTGTGGAGGGGGCTGTGATTGGGCAGGGAGAGTGGGAAGGGAGAGGCAGAGGGGTGGTGGGAGATGTGAGGGGGGGCGGGCTGGGTTTTAGCTGGGGTGCTGCTTCTGCTGCTGCTGCCAAAATAAAAAGAGAAAAGAAAAAAGGTCAGTGATTCCTTTTCTATTGTTGTTGCTGCTCAATTATTTTTTTTTTTTTTATTACAGTGGAAGACTTTTTTGTGTGTGTGTGAGACAGGGTTTCACACAACTCAGCTGGCCTCCATCTCACTACATGACAGAGGGTGACCTTGAACTCAGGACCCTCAGGTACCCATTTCCTCAGTGCTGGACATTACAGCAGTGTACTGTCGTGTCCAGTTTATACGGTGCTGGGGATGGACCCTAAGATCTCATGCCCACTAGACAAGCATTCTATCAAATGAGCTGTATCCCCAGCTTTATTTTTTAGGAAGGAAGTAAATCCTGGGCTAGTAAACCCTGATGGCTCAGGGCTCTTGCTGGCAAGTCTGATGGCCAGAGTTCAATCTCTGAGACCTGCATGATGGAAGGAGAGAACTGAATCCTACAAGTTGACCTCTGATCTCCCTGACATGTATGTGACCACACATACAAATACAAACACATGCAAATAATGTGTGTGTGTGTGTGTGTGTGTGTGTGTATTTTTCAGAATCCCATCTC